GCAGGAGAGTGTAATAAAGTTACAATTTAAATATTCATTTTGTGTTTCAAGGTGGCACTCACAAATTGCTGTTTTTTTTTCAAGCCCTCAGGTTGCCTCCCCTGTGGTTAGGGGGGTTCCTCCTGTTGTTTAGTTACCACGCCAGTTCCAAAGTTAGGAAGTCCACACACTGTGTGGTCTCTCTAACACTGTGGCATGTCCCCTTTCTTCTACACTCACTACAGACATCTTTTCTCTGTCCCAGACTATATACCAGGAACTTCTGCCTGCTAGTAAGATGATAAGGAGACAAATGGACCACCGAGTGCTAAGGTACAGTCCTTAGAAAGCGTGGAGTTGGCGCATCATTTGATGCATTTATGTCAAGCACAGGGTGCTGCCTGCATAGTATGCCCTTAGTTGGACAGCCTGCATGATTGGCAGGTAGCCTGACATGCATTCATGCCAGGCTGGCCTTCCAATTCTTTGGACAAACATGCCCTCTTTTGGGGCATGTTCACCCCTTTTGGCAGGTCTGGTCACGTGATTCGCGGCAGTGGCACACCCTTTTACCCTGACCATTGACTTTCTGCTTCACTGGACACTGCAGTTAGGGGGTATGGATTTACTTGAAAGATGAAAGCATGAATTAGAGAGAGATTAGCATAGAGTATGTGTTTTCTTATAGCTGCATCCATTGAGTTTCCCTCCAACACCATCTCCATCAGATACATGACGCTTGGGAGGTATGATTGTTTTAGTGTTTTTGGTCGATTAGATTCTGTAAATAGGCCCCATCATAATTGTCAGCACCAGGCCCACTGGGCTCTTAATCTGGCCCTGGTGTCAGTTTGTGTCTGTCAGTAAAAGTGTATGTTGGTTAAAAAGTGTGTGCCAATGGCTGTGTATCTGCCAGAGTGTGTCTGTCAGTGAGCGTTTGTGTGTGTGAGTGTGAATGTCAGTGAATGCGTAGCTGTTATTGTGTGTGTGTGTCTGTCGGAGTGTGACAAATCAGTGAGGATGTCTGTGTGTGTGTATATCAGTGTGTGTCTGCCAGTGAGTGTATGTCAGGGTATGTGTATCTGAGAGCGTGCGCGTTGCTGTGCAGGGGTGTGACAGCGTTTGTCTGTCAGTGAAAATGTGTGTTGGTTAAAGAGTGTGAGCGAATGACTCTGTATCTGTCAGTGAGTGTATATCGGAGCATGTATCAATGAGGGTGTATGTCTGTCATTCAAAGTGTGTGTTGGTCTTAAGCAGGAAAAGGTGCGGCCTTTACAGGAAGGGGTGGGGCAAATTTAGTTTAGGGGGGTTGCTAAAGTTTAGTCAAGCCTAGGGCAGCACACATACAAAGTACAGCACTGTAGGTATATTGTATGCATAGCTTCTGATATTCATTACACTCACATTACACAATCATCCTGATATTTGTATCTTTAGATGAGAAGCAAAAAATGATCTTGGGTATATTAATTACACACTCCTTCCAAATTGTCCATGTAACACAAAACATCCACACACAAACACTTAGAGACAGACAAGAATACACACACTTGGACAAACATACAGAGACAGACACAAATGCACACACTTCTATGAACACTGAGAGAAAGACAAGAATGCACACACTTAGATGAACACTGAGAGACAGACAAGAATGCACACACTTCTATGAACACTGAGAGACAGACAAGAATGCACACACTTAGATGAACACTGAGAGACAGACAAGAATGCACACACTTCTATGAACACTGAGAGACAGACAAGAATGCACACACTTAGATGAACACTGAAAGACAGACAAGAATGCACACACTTGGACGAACACTGAGAGACAGACAAGAATGCACACACTTGTATAAACACAGAGACAGACAAGAATGCGCACACTTAGACTAACACTGAGAGACAGACAAGAATGCGCACACTTAGACTAACACTGAGAGACAGACAAGAATGCGCACACTTGGACGAACACTGAGAGACATACAAGAATGCACATACTTGTATGAACACAGAGACAGACAAGAATGCACACACTTGGACAAACACTGATAGACAGACAAGAATGCGCACACTTGTATGAACACAGACAGACAAGAATGCATACACTTGGAATAACACACAGAGACAGACACAAATGCACACACTTCTAAGAACACTGAGCGACAGACAAGAATACACACACTTGGACGAACACACAGAGACAGACACAAATGCACAGAGACAGACAAGAATGCACACACTTGGACGAACACACAGAGACAGATACAAATGCACACACTTGTATGAACACAGACAGACAAGAATGCACACACTTGTATTAACACAGAGAAAGACACAAATGCACACACATAGACGAACACACACATGCGTGCAGACATTCACTCTCTGTCCTGATAATATGACTATAAAGCAATTTATTTGAAAGAATGAAAAAAGAAGAAAGAAAGGAGCCTAAACAACTGGAACCTCCATTGGGGGTTAACCCCTAGTTAATTGGCAAAAGGAAAAAAGAGAAAAGTTGGAGATTCCAGTTCTATATATATTAACACCAGTGAAGTACACATAAATTAAAACGTCACTTTTAATAAATTAAAATTAAAAAGTCCCTTAATAATAAGGGCACTACACACACACTTATTGTAAACCCGTGTAAAATCACCACACCTAAATATAAATGGCTGAGTTAACCAAAAAGTGAATAAAATGATGATTTCTCTAGAGGGAAGATTTTCCACTTATGACTATAAGATCTAGTATGTGAAATCCTACAAAGTCATTGTCTACAGAAATCTAAATTGTTGTAGGGTGTACCCAGATAATACTCTTATTAAATCTGAGTGATTAGTACTTCAATTTGGATGAATTAAACCCCTATTCCTGATACAATGGATTACTAGATACTTGTATGTCTATGTATAAACAATGTAGCTGCTCAATCTACTTGAGCTAATCTTCCTCGATACTACATATAGCAATGTTGCTAATTCCTGTTTACCAAGTTGGCCTTATAGTAACAGTATATCAAGATCGTGGATACAGTTTTGATAGCATAGCTGTTTTTGTAGTAAAGAATACTGTAGACCGTGGGAAAAGAGAGGAGGGCACCGTGATGGACCTTGCACCCCTCGTACAGCCTATAGAGCGATGTTTTCAATCATACGGCTGTCTAACCAGTCCCATCACATCCCACGACCAAAAACTAGTGCAACAAGGCTATAGCAGAACGATAGATTGTCTCCCTCATGTCACTTCCAAATCTGGACCTATTCGGCATTGAGGTTCTATCTTAAAATAATTGCGTCTGAATAAACGTCCCCCTGCACTTCTAACGAACTGGTAAGTTAGTTCTCTCTCTGCTTTTAAGTCTATTACTACTTGGCATACAAATACTATCTTTGGTTTATTAAAGTCTGCGCCACCCTACATATCCCTGACGCGCGTTTCGCTTATTAGCTCATCAGAAGGAAACCGGGGTCCTGTGCCTCCCGGTCTTTTAAAGGTCATACTCTATTCCTATTGGTAACCGTTATTTTTGAATTAACCAATGCAAGAGAGGGTACTCATCTGTTGTAATTTGACGTAATTAATTGAAGACCGGGTTTGTTAACCCTTAATGTATAAGTCGCTGGACGAAACAGACAGTTAATGTTTGAAAACTGTAAATAAGTAAGAAAAAGATCTATTATTGTATTATGCAGAATTATTAAAAAACTTCAAAAGAAGATTGTTATAGATTGTATTATTCCTTATAGTTATTGTCTATTTGGAAGTTTGTTAATACGTGCTTTACTTTTCTGGGTTCGTTGCTCGTGGCAGAGAAAGACTGAACTTCCTACGATATGTCATCTGCTGTTAATATAATATTAGAATTATGGACTCTACAGTTTCAGTCCGACTGATATCTGAGGATAATACCTATTTAATCACAAATTTCAAGGTGACATTACATTGGGCTGATTTAACTATCACGTCCCCAGGTTCTTATTAAACCCACATTGTTCTTACCACTATCTGACAATTGTTAGTTTCCCAGATTCTATGTTACCCAACTCCCGATGGGCAAATAGTTTCTAACAGTTCCATCATTCTTTTCCGTAGGTGACGGGCGATAGAATTTTTTATATATCAGGATTGCAATCTCTAAAGAAAAGCTGTTCGTGTTGAAAAGTATTAACACGTCTTGGCCCCTATTCTCTTTATAAATAAATCCTAATTGTGACTTCATTATTACGAAAGAACTTTAAATATTTGTATTTACTAAAATAATAGAGACGGTCCAAGTATAACTGACAGACTAATAACTTCTTATTGAGCTGTCCATTAGGCTTTCTTTAGAGATTGCAATCCTGATATATAAAAAATTCTATCGCCCGTCACCTACGGAAAAGAATGATGGAACTGTTAGAAACTATTTGCCCATCGGGAGTTGGGTAACATAGAATCTGGGAAACTAACAATTGTCAGATAGTGGTAAGAACAATGTGGGTTTAATAAGAACCTGGGGACGTGATAGTTAAATCAGCCCAATGTAATGTCACCTTGAAATTTGTGATTAAATAGGTATTATCCTCAGATATCAGTCGGACTGAAACTGTAGAGTCCATAATTCTAATATTATATTAACAGCAGATGACATATCGTAGGAAGTTCAGTCTTTCTCTGCCACGAGCAACGAACCCAGAAAAGTAAAGCACGTATTAACAAACTTCCAAATAGACAATAACTATAAGGAATAATACAATCTATAACAATCTTCTTTTGAAGTTTTTTAATAATTCTGCATAATACAATAATAGATCTTTTTCTTACTTATTTACAGTTTTCAAACATTAACTGTCTGTTTCGTCCAGCGACTTATACATTAAGGGTTAACAAACCCGGTCTTCAATTAATTACGTCAAATTACAACAGATGAGTACCCTCTCTTGCATTGGTTAATTCAAAAATAACGGTTACCAATAGGAATAGAGTATGACCTTTAAAAGACCGGGAGGCACAGGACCCCGGTTTCCTTCTGATGAGCTAATAAGCGAAACGCGCGTCAGGGATATGTAGGGTGGCGCAGACTTTAATAAACTAAAGATAGTATTTGTATGCCAAGTAGTAATAGACTTTTATAACACCTTTTCTTAAAAGCAGAGAGAGAACTAACTTACCAGTTCGTTAGAAGTGCAGGGGGACGTTTATTCAGACGCAATTATTTTAAGATAGAACCTCGATGCCGAATAGGTCCAGATTTGGAAGTGACATGAGGGAGACAATCTATCGTTCTGCTATAGCCTTGTTGCACTAGTTTTTGGTCGTGGGATGTGATGGGACTGGTTAGACAGCCGTATGATTGAAAACATCGCTCTATAGGCTGTACGAGGGGTGTAAGGTCCATCACGGTGCCCTCCTCTCTTTTCCCACGGTCTACAGTATTCTTTACTACATAAACAGCTATGCTATCAAAACTGTATCCACGATCTTGATATACTGTTACTATAAGGCCAACTTGGTAAACAGGAATTAGCAACATTGCTATATGTAGTATCGAGGAAGATTAGCTCAAGTAGATTGAGCAGCTACATTGTTTATACATAGGCATACAAGTATCTAGTAATCCATTGTATCAGGAATAGGGGTTTAATTCATCCAAATTGAAGTACTAATCACTCAGATTTAATAAGAGTATTATCTGGGTACACCCTACAACAATTTAGATTTCTGTAGACAATGACTTTGTAGGATTTCACATACTAGATCTTATAGTCATAAGTGGAAAATCTTCCCTCTAGAGAAATCATCATTTTATTCACTTTTTGGTTAACTCAGCCATTTATATTTAGGTGTGGTGATTTTACACGGGTTTACAATAAGTGTGTGTGTAGTGCCCTTATTATTAAGGGACTTTTTAATTTTAATTTATTAAAAGTGACGTTTTAATTTATGTGTACTTCACTGGTGTTAATATATATAGAACTGGAATCTCCAACTTTTCTCTTTTTTCCTTATGACTATAAAGCATTTTAGTAAACAGAATATCTGAAATCTACACTAAGCCTTTCATGTGTTATGGTACGATAATAGGTGAACTGGTGCAAGCTGCTTCTAGTGTACACTTTACAGGTTAATTGACCTTTCCTGAAAAAATGTAATTAACTTTTTGTATATTTTGGTGTGTATATAGATAGGGCAGGAATCATCTTTGCTCTGGGTCTCGTGAATCTGTTTTAATTCACTGAGTAAACAGCTTGCACTGCATTAGTGTAATGTAATGAAATGCTATTCTACAAACCTGTTTAAATAACGATATTAAAGCAGAGAGAGAACCCTGCAGCTGTTATGCTAATAGCCCAGTATTCACACATATTTCAGTAACAATGCATTGTGTGGGACTGTCTGCAGATAACTGTCCCCCAATTTCTATAGATTGTAAGCGTGTAAGCCAAACTCTCTCTATACCTTGTTTCCCTGTCCCCCATTCCCTCTAAATTGTAAGCATGTGAGCCCAGCTCTCTCCATATCTTGTTTCCCCTGTCCCCATTTCCTTTAGATCATTAGCCCATGAGCCAAGCTCCCTATATACTTTGTTTCCCTTGTCCTCCTTTCCCTCTAGAGTCTAGATTGTTAGCCCATGAGCCAAGTTCTCTATATACCTTGTTTCCCCTGTCCCCCATTCCCTCTAGAGTGTAAGCATGTGACCCAAGCTCTCTATATGCCTTGTTTGACTGTCCCCCATTCTCTCCAATAGATGGGATAGTAATTGACATGTTCATTAAATGTTGGGAGCAGTCAGTCATTGTTAGTAAATCTCACATTTCACTCAGTATTGCCCTTTCCAGTGTATTCTGAGAGAAGATGTAAATTTTAGGGTGACTTATAGGAATACAGGGAGCATGACGTTTAGATTCAAACAGCCACACTGGAAAACCAGGACATTCATGGTCATCTCAATTCATGCATTGCCCTAAAACGCAGAAATATTCTGACTCACGAGGATTAAGAGCTCTCAGTACACTAATAATTTATAGCAATTTACGTTTCCTGTTAGGATCCATAATGCTGTGATAGGTCACTCTGGCAGCCGGTAAGGCTTGATGGGAGGTGTAGTTCCTGAACAGTTAGAGTGCCAGCTCTCCTGCTCAGGGGTCACTCACAGCTTTTCATTGGCATAGACATAGCCCCAGGATACATCAGTATATTATTTTATTAATCAATGTCTGTATGGAACCAGACTCCCATTACACATACTGTGTTTCTCCAATCAGCTTTGTTTGTTTCTTTCAATCTCCAGAGAAAATAATTGTCCTTTTAAAGACAATCTGCCTCTCTATCCAGTTCTCTCCCATGGTTTGTGGATTGCGTTCCTGTGTCATAGTGCCTTTACTAACCGTAGCTGTGATTGCCTATATAGAGGCAGGAAGCCAGACTTTAATGCCCTACCTGGGGTGTAACTCTGTGTCCAAGGCGGCCATATTTCAGACTTGTGGAATCAAGAATTACATTTACTGTCTATGTTATATATGTGCTGTTATAGCGTTGTTGGCTGGTCGGTCTGTCTATATGTTATATATGTGCTGCTATAGTGGTGTTGGCTGGTCAGTATGTATGTATGTGTGTGTATATATAATATACAAGATGAGTGCTCTGGATCTTGTGTATAATATATATATATATACTGTTATAGCGGTGTTGGCTGGTTGGTCTGTCTATAGGTTATATATGTTCTGTAATAGCTGTGTTGGCTGGTCAGTCTGTCTATATGTGCGGTTATATCAGTGTTGGCTGGTCAGTCTGTCTATATGTTATATATGTACATAAATTCTAAAAAACCCAAAAATGAAAGTGTAGGTACACTAAAAACTGAAACGGGGGTGTTAGTTAATGAAGACCAGGAAAAGGCAGGAATTTTAAATAACTATTTCTCCTCCGTATATATTAAGGAAGAATCCATGGCAATAGATGTGCAAATGATTGCTACTAAAAACTTGCAGAATAATTGTAATTGGTTAACTCAAGACAAGGTGCTGCAGCAACTAAAGAAAGTTAATATAAACAAAGCTCCAGGGCCTGACGGTATCCATCCACGTGTACTTAAGGAACTAAGTGTAGAAATAAGTGAACCTCTGTTTTTAATCTTTCAAGCTTCTTTTCTTTCAGGAAGTGTTCCGGAGGATTGGAGGAAGGCAGATGTGGTTCCTATATTCAAAAAGGGTTCAAAATCCTTGCCTGGAAATTATAGACCTGTGAGCTTAACTTCTGTGGCTGGGAAAATATTTGAAAAGTTATTAAGGGATAATATTCAAGAATTCCTTGAGAAGAACATGGTTATCAGCAAAAATCAGCATGGTTTTATGAAGCACAGAACATGTCAAACTAACTTGATTGCGTTCTACGAAGAAGTAAGTAGAAGTATAGATCAGGGTGTTGCAGTGGATGTGATCTATTTGGATTTTGCCAAGGCATTTGATACAGTTCCACACAATAGATTAGTGTTCAAACTCAAGGAAATCGGTCTAGATGAAAATGCTTGTTCTTGGGTAGAATATTGGCTTAAAAACAGAGTACAAAGAGTTCTCATTAATGGTAAATTTTCAAAGCTGGACAGAGGTGGCAAGTGGTGTCCCTCAGGGGTCTGTTCTGGGACCCCTTCTATTTAACATATTTATAAATGATCTTGAAGACAGCATTGAAAGTCATGTTTCAGTGTTTGCAGAGGATACAAAACTTTGTAAAATAATACAATGTGCGCAAGATATTACTTTGCTGCAGAGGGATTTAGATAGACTGGGGGACTGGGCACTCAAATGGCAGATGAAATTTAATGTTGAAAAATGCAAAGTTATGCACTTCGGCGTAAACAATACACAAGCAACGTATACCCTTAATGGAAGCGAATTAGGGATAACAACACACAAAAAGGACTTGGGAATTGTTATAGACAAACTATGCAACAATGTGCAATGTCAATCGGCAGTGGCCAAGGCCAGTAAGGTATTGTCATGCATGAAAAAGGGCATTCATTCTCGGGACGGGAATATCATTTTGCCTCTTTATAAATCACTGGTAAGACCACATATTGAATATGCTGTGCAATTTTGGGCACCTGTTCTAAAGAAGGATATTATGGCACTAGAAAAAGTGCAGAGGCAGGCTACAAAATTAATAAAAGGAATGGAACATATCAGCTATGAAGAAAGGTTAACAAATTTAAACCTATTTAGTTTAGAAAAACGTCGCCTGAGAGGGGATATGATAACATTATACAAATATATTCGGGGCCAATACAAACCATTGTGTGGAAATTTATTCACATACCGGACTTTACATAGGACACGAGGCCATGCGTTTAGACTGGAAGAAAGAAGATTTAGGTACTGTAAGAACAATCAGGATGTGGAATTCTCTGCCTGAAGAAGTGGTTTTATTAGAGTCCATACAGATGTTCAAACAGCTACTAGATGCATACTTGCAAAAACAGAATATTCAAGGATATAATCTTTCAATGTAGGGTAATAACTGCTTGATCCAAGGATAAATCTGACTGCCATTCTGGGGTCAAGAAGGAATTTTTTTCCTAGCTTGTTGCAAAATTGTGCTTCAAACTGTTTTTTTTTTGCCTTCTTTTGGATCAACAGCAAAAAACAAATGTGAGGAAGGCTGAACTTGATGGATGCAAGTCTCTTTTCAGCTATGTAACTATGTGCTGTTATAGCGGTGTTGGCTGGTCAGTCTGTCTATATGTGCTGTTATAGCGGTGTTGGCTGGTCAGTCTGTCTATATGTGCTGTTATAGCGGTGTTGGCTGGTCAGTCTGTCTATATGTGCTGTTATAGCGGTGTTGGCTGGTCAGTCTGTCTATATGTGCTGTTATAGCGGTGTTGGCTGGTCAGTCTGTCTATATGTGCTATTATAGCAGTGTTGGCTGGTCAGTCTGTCTATATGTTATATATATGTGCTGTTACAGCGGTGCTGACTGCTCGGTCTGTATATATGTTATATATCTGCTGCTGTCTAGACTTGGTAAAGTGTTCAGTTGTTTCTAACAACGCAGCAGACAGTGGCATATTTTTCCTTGATAGTGCTCAGATTGATAACCTTGAGATATTGTGATAAGCAGTTCCTGCTGTGACTTTGTTTGGTATTTGCTCACACACACGTACCACGGACTCATACGCTGACACAGATACCTTTACATTATATTAAAGAACATTTATTGGAATATACCCACACCGAAATAAATACAATTCATCATCATTTAAGTACTTAGAGCAGGACAGATTTACATGCCACAGCAAAGAGGAATGTGTCCGCATGTATTATACACAAAGCACAGACAGTGAGATTTAGGGTTACGGGGGCTGCGAGTATCAGCAGAGCTCACTAAACGAAGATTTCTAAGACTTAATAAGTATTCTCTGGCCTAGAACTGAATCGCACATATGGTACGGCTGAGGGTTATGGGAGTTCATGTACGTTTGGCTGTGTTGGCACAAAAAGAACATTAAATTATTTAACACAGAACTTGCTCTCGGCAATATACAGGAACATCTGGAAAGTGCGTGTGTCCAATGGGGGTCAAGCTGCTTAGCAGCACGTTACAGGGTCTGTTCAGTAAAGTGTGACTTACTTTATAATCGCTTGGATAAAATAAGAGTTTGGGATTTTTCATTTATTTAAAATGTGATTGCTAACAGTTCAATGAATAAGCCATTTAGGTAAACAGACAGATAAGTGATTGGTGAGGGTTAAATGACCAGAAATGATGACACGAAAACCGATATCTCTCTATTTCTGTGTATATTCACAGTCCTTCATTGATCACATACATCGATAAAAAAACACCACGATTCTTGGTTTGCCTAAGATTCCACCTGGATATATTAATACAATGAGTTCAGATTTATAAAACGCATTTCCCTTGTTGTCGGGACAAACATGTAAAGCATTGACATACATAACAGCATTTGGCAATGTACTAGTAACGTGGATCCTAAAATGAAAACGCAAAAGGCAGATTCTGTACAACATGATTACGGAGACCGTTAAATAAGAACATTATGGATCCCCTACTCTCTGTGTGTCGTTAAGCACAGGAAACATTCTGAATCTGTTTTTTTTTTTTTTTAATCCCTACCAATAAATTAACACATAATGCAAAATATACACAGACTACTCTCCCCAGGACGCGGTGGCCCGCCTTCTCCTGGACGTCCAGGATATTTTTGCAGCTGGCCCCAGCACAAACGCCATTGTTGAACCCTTCTGCTGCTGCCAGAGCAGCCTGGGATAGCAAAAGGGTCACGGAGTCATTTCACATCGCATCGAAGTGGAAGCGGTGAGCTTCCTGGCGCTTCTCGCGATCATCTGCTTTCTGAAATAAACAGAATCTGTTAGCATGGAAGACACGGCGAAAAGGGGAGCGTTATATTTCATGTGTAATCACAATGAGGAAACTGGGGAAAGTATCAGTGAAATCCAATTCAGAGAAAAAGATATGCCCTTAATCTATATATTCCTTAAAAAAAATGTGAATGGTTTACACCAGTCCAGATATCCCCTCAGTTAAAACAAATGCAGAATTATACTCGTCCTTATCGATTTATACAGCAACTATGGGCACTGCGATAGGCTGACACACTTAGCCAATCACCACTGCCCATGGCTGCTTGGGTTAATGCTTCCGGATCAGCCCATGCAACACAGAGAGGATATACACAGGCACTATAACCACTTCAATGAGATGAAGCAGTGACAGTACCTAGAGTGCACATTTAAAGTTAGCCCCATCGCTGTGAAGTGCACAGATAACTGGTAATAAATGCTTCAATAGCGAATACTATCATTTCGGCTACAGTCAGCATGACAGACACTAGATACTGGGTAAATAACACATGAAACGTACCAGTGTCAAGGCTGGATTATTGGTTACAATGTTCGTTTAATATAAGAAATAAATTGCAAATATATTATATTACTATAAAGGGT